GAAGGAGCCGGGCCGGGCAAGCGGCGGCTCAATGAAATTCCTCTCACCTCACCCCGTAAACAGCCCCAGAGCCCGGCCCCATTAGGGCTGGGTACAAAAGTCTGGGTCCGAGGCTGAACAAAAGGATGGGGAAGAAAGTGCAGGTTGCCGTGGCAACGCTGTCCAGGCCGGCTGTTTTTATCAGCAAGGGGCCGGGGTTTTCTGCCTGAGTTACAGGAATCCGAGGCAATTTATTTCCACTGCAAAACAGAGGCTCCGGAGGGCGGGCGTAGGCTCTGCGTCGCCTTGGCGGATCCCAGCAGGGCAGGTGCTGACTCACCCACGCAGGGGTCCCACACGCCATGCTGGGTGGTGTGGCTGGGCGCGGCCTCCCCTACCCCAGAGGCTGAGACACGGCAGTGACCCTCCGAGGGGGATGGCCCCGTTGCACGACGTGCTCTGCCCCAGCCTCTTCTCTGACACAGCAGCGCTCTTAGCCTTCTCCGTTTATCAGGGACACGGAGGCCATCTCTTCTGCTCTCCTTGCAAATGGTAGGCCTATTTAAATGGGGAGAGTCTTAACCAGGACATAGCCTGTAGGAGGAATCAAAATAAACTGATGATCCCCAGCTCTAACATGCTCCCGGCTATCCAGAGAGCACCTCAGTGGCTTCTGCCAGCCCTGGACCACCACTGTGTACCTCTGAGACCAGACTCCTGAGGGCTGACCAAGGGCCAGAAAAAAAGAGGGAATGCCAGAAGCCCTTGCACGTCACTTAGCAAAGTGGCTGGCCGCGGCCTCCCCTACCCCAGAGGCTGAGACACGGCAGTGACCCTCCGAGGGGGATGGCCCCGTTGCACGACGTGCTCTGCCCCAGCCTCTTCTCTGACACAGCAGCGCTCTTAGCCTTCTCCGTTTATCAGGGACACGGAGGCCATCTCTTCTGCTCTCCTTGCAAATGGTAGGCCTATTTAAATGGGGAGAGTCTTAACCAGGACATAGCCTGTAGGAGGAATCAAAATAAACTGATGATCCCCAGCTCTAACATGCTCCCGGCTATCCAGAGAGCACCTCAGTGGCTTCTGCCAGCCCTGGACCACCACTGTGTACCTCTGAGACCAGACTCCTGAGGGCTGACCAAGGGCCAGAAAAAAAGAGGGAATGCCAGAAGCCCTTGCACGTCACTTAGCAAAGCTGAGATCTGGCTTTAAAGCACCTTGAACCCTGAATGGAGGTTTGGACCTGGAATGCGTGGGCCTTACACTGACAGGGAAGAGCTCAGGTAAAGGAGCTCCAGACCTAACTAGATCTATGTCCTCAAGACAGCTGTCAGGCCCTACCACGGCTGGGGACAAGAAGTAACACGCTAGAGACCTGGGAGCAGTAAAGATAAGGCAGGTCAAGCAGAGAGAGATCTTACAAAGCATGTTACAAAAAGCAGAAAAGACTGTTCACCCCCATCGCTATGGGGAGTTCAAATGTAGTAGGTCTACTGGCCAGCAAAGATTTCTTGATACAGCCCAACTGCTATTTAACACTGCAGTCTGGGGAAGACAATAGTGCTGGCTGCAAGGAACAAACGAAGGATGGAGAAAGAGTACAAGAACTGAATGGTATAACTAAACAAGAGACAGAAGTCAGATGTTTTGGTGCACTGAAGCCAGGACAACCAGGTACTTGCAGATTCCAAGCCAACTGATGTGTCAAATTGCAGGTTGGGTGGCAAGGTTTTTAGAGGTAGAGCCTGTCACGGAAGAGGAAGACCCACATTAAAGACAGTATATGTAGTAACCTTTTTTTTTTTTTTTTTTTTTTTTTAACCTGGGGTTTGGGGAGGGTCAGTAGTATGCAAAGCTTTAGAACAAGTCTTGCAGAAAAGAATCTTTTAAACAGGTAGAAGAAAACCAGCTAAACTACAGATAGGCTTGTTGCAGATACCATTCTACTAAGACACAGTCTGCTCATCTCTGATAACTGATTTCTTTTATCTACACACATTTCTAGAACACAGCTTACTGAATTTGTCTAAGGAATGACAGGGAAATTATCAATTAAACTGAAGATGATGGGATTAATAGAAACCATAAGAGATGGGTGCAGAGATGCCTTTGGAACAAGAAAGGAGCAGGCTATAGAGTTCACCGCTAGAGTTTCTCTGGAATCAATCTTGGGATTTATATTGTTTATTCTCTTCATGAATGATGTTGTCATAAGAAGTGGAAGTGCTCAGATTAAGCTACTTGATGACGCAAAAGAGGGAGGCATTGTGAATGCAGAGGAGAACGGGACATCAAATAGAAAGAAGCAGATGACCTTGAGCATAAAGATGCAGGAATGAGTTGAAATTCAATAGCATGAAATGCAAGACTAATCGCAAGGGTTTCTGCAATAAACAGGAAGCACATCAATTGGGCATGACTGAGGATGAGGTGAGCTTAGATGTATTACTTGCTTTTCTGGTGCTTTTAGCTCATTGGTGGTTCATAATCATCCTGCAATCAAGTGAGGTCTTAGCAACCTGGGACATCTCCAACTGAGGCAGAAAATCTTTAATAGCACTGCACAAAGAACGGCCAAGACCTCCTCTGGAATGGGGTGCGAAGCCCTGGTCAGGAAGGGTGAATTCATACTAGAAGCAGTGCAGGAAAAAAAATCTCCTAGGATGATCAAGAGAAAGGAGATCCTGTTTCACCAGTGGCCTAGTGAAAACAAAGGCTGAAAGTAGATATGTTCTCTATTATTTCACTCATCAAGGAGGTGGACAGAACACATGGGAGGAAGAAAAGCTAGGTAAAGTAATGGGTGATGTTGGCACAGGAAGAGCGAGATACCAGTATGGCAGAAAAACTCGGACGGTAATTAGAAAGCAGTTCCTGACCAAGAAGGCAGGGAAGTAGAAGGCTCAGGAACTCCTCCACATTAAAGACAGAGGAAGTAAAGAACTGCTTGCTAAGTTCAGAAAGACCGTATATGTTGCAGTTGCCTGCAGCATCTGAAAAAGGGTCCCCACATGACCCCAGGGACTGCATGTCCTGCGTCTCCAGCCCACATGAAGGCCCCCTGCACGCTTGCCTCCTTCAGAGCACTCCGGAGGACTTCTTCCGCAGAGTGATTGCTTGTGCCCTGCTCCTTCCCCCTCCCTGCCTGCATGTCTGGAAACCAATCCTCACCTCAATTTTAAAGAGGGAGAGAGAAAAGGAAAGCCAGTAGGCTCAGCCTTTTGTACAGCAAAGCAGATTAGGGGCCTCACTGGGATTTGAAAGTTGTGTTCAGTGAAGGGAAGGAGATGGAAAAAGAGGGAGGGAGGGCTCTGCTCTCGTTCGCAGCCAGGGGAATTCAGACCTGCCTTAGGTCAGCTCCTCAAATTCTTTTCTGTCCGCTTTTTTTCCCCCCTCCTCCCCTCCTGCTTGACACCACAGATCAGCACTTTGGGGGCTGATATCTTTTCAGGAATTAAATCCACTGGAGGAATTAAAACATGTTCTCCCTCTCCCCACACAGGCTGCTGAATCAGGAAAGCATTTGCCCAAACAAAAGCCAAATCCCCTTCCTAGGGGCAATCAGGAAAAGCGTTCACTGCAGTGGTCTCTAGTCTGATGACAAAAGGTTCCCTGGACTATAGACAAGAAGGTTAACGCTGCCTTGGATTATAGGAACAGCTGTGGACTGAAGGGATCAGCTGCCACCTGTGTAATGAAAGCTACATGGCTCCAGTCCCAGGAGGATGCATGCCAGGCGCTTTGTGTTACCTGTCTGTCCAAGCTTGACTCCGGAGGTGGTCTTTACTTCTGACTGACTCCCCCACATCCGAAGCACCCAGGCTAAGATGAACCACACTTGCCTAGATCCTCTCATTGCCATTCAGGCACAGAGCTGCTCTTAAAAGCAGATGAGTTGACCACCTCCAACGTTAGCGCAAACTTCATTTTCCAGGCACCTGCCATGGGGACCTAGCCTTGACTTTCAGGAGTGCGGGGTGCTCCCAGGCTGAAGTTCAGTCCCAAGAGCTGCGCTTTGAACACGTGAAAGGCCATGCCCTTTAAATGTTCTGTAAGGTCATAGCTGAGGTGTCTCCACGTCCTCAAAAATCTCACTCCAAATCTCTTTCTCTTCCCTTTAACCCTTCTGGGCTCAAGATTTGTTGTCCACAGAACAGGCCTACTGCAGACCCATCCCCTGGCAGGGGACTTGCAATGCTAAAATCATTAGCAGTTTTGAAACATTCAGCTATTGCAGTGAGCTCCATTAAAAAGCTCATTAGGAGACTAGTAATTCTACCTCTCTAGCAGAGACTGAATAATATTCAGTAAATACAGCCTGAGGCGTCACGCAGTGAACAACATGGTGGAAATAAAATATCGTATGGCTTTTTGGTACCTGTGCAGTGTCAGTCCTGTGGGCAGAATGAACCAGGATCCTCTGGAAAAGAGCTCAGTTGTGTAATTACCATTACAATCTGCATAATAAAACATTAAAATCTGTGCAAGTGAGCTTGACCTAGTGTTTCTCATACTGCAATCAGATTGGTCTTTGGACAGTTTCTGTGTACATGGCATGCATGTTTCATTCTGTAACGGTCACCCTTTGTGACCTATAGGGCCCCTTTTTGCCCAAGTTTATGAACTCTGGCCAAATTTGGGCACAATTCATAGGGACAGCAGCATAAAGACTCTTCCTTTCCCAAGTCTCCGGGAGCTCGGATACACCCAGGCTGCATTGGAAGAGCACTGACAGCAGGTAGGAGCTGATCCTTCCCCTCTGCTCAGCCCTAGTGAGACACATCTGGGGTGCTGGGTCCAGTGCTGGGCTCTCCAGTGCAAGAGAGGCATGGATGTACTGGAGTGAATCCAGCAAACAGCCACAAGGTGATTAAGGGGCTGGAAGATCTGATGTATGATGAGAGGCTGAGAGCTGAGACTGTTCAGCCTGGAACAAAAAAGGCTCAGGGGAATCTTACCATGTATAAATACCTGAACAAAGGGTGTAAAGGCAGCAGAGCCAGACTTTTGTCAGTGACAGGACAAGAGGAAATGGGCACAAACTGAAATACAAGAAATTCTCTTTAAATACGACAAAAAAATTTTACTGTAAGGGCAGTCGGACACTGGAACAGATTACCCAGAGAGGTCATAGAGTCTTCATCCTTGGAAGCACAACAACACAAGTTTTGACAGGAGACATGAAGAAACTAGTTTTTTTCAATCCTACTTCAGGATAAACTAATTGAGCATTGGAAAGTTAGATTAATATTGGGTCAGACTAGGGGTTCATCTCCCCTTGCACCATGTCTCTGCCAGTGGCCAGGCATGGATGCTTGGGGGAGATGGCGTGTGATCCCTCCCTCAGCTTTTGGCTGGCGGCAGTTTTCGACATGAGGACACCAGGTTTGCCACGGGACGTGACCATCCAGATTAAACAGCACTGAGCCCGAGATCCCTTGTAAGCTGAGGGCCAGATGATAACGCTGCTACCTGCGGAATGTTAAAAGCCTCTTTCCCCTCTTCTATTAAGTCAAGAGGGAAAGACAGTGGTGGCAGCAGGGCCTGGATTACGGCACTCACGGCTTTTTCCTACTGCCAAAAATAGTGAGGGGCATCATCGGTTTCCAGGGCAACAGACTGAGCCTGTGGCTTTCCAAAAGCCTCTTGCACTGGGGTCTGTCACTGAGGACCCTGTTTTCTTCCTCTCTGTTTGCAAGCATTATGCTTTCCGTCTCACAGACTCCACTTTTCCACTTGCATGTTTTTTAACCATCCCTTTGCTTTGACTTGCAGATCCTCCCAGTTCTTTCTTGGGGAAAAAAAAGAAAAAAACAATCAACATAGGCTATCCTCACAGAGGCCGTGAAAGGGTGCAAATATGCAGGGATAGCAACACAAAGCAAGGACAGTAGGGATCAAAGAACAGGGCTGGCAGCTATTGCAAAGTGAGACTGGCAGAGGGAGATGCAGTGGTAAAATATAGTCCCACATAAGGGCATCTAAGTTTGGTGTTTCTCAGCTACACAGCTTGGAGCTATTAGACTGACAGAGAAAGACAATGAAGTGCTCTGAACTGGGATCGGAACACAGCTTTGACACATACCGACAGTGCCACTTGAAACAGATTCAGCTAAACTCCGCAAAGGCTTGGTCGTGGTGCTATTGCAACCAGACCTAAGGAAAGGGACTCCCAAGCTACAGCTAAACACCATAGCTTAATTCCATGCTAAAGTCAGGGATACCTCACTGTTGGATCTGGGACATGTGAAGAAGCATAAAGCTAAAATACTGGTCATCGGGTAAAGTTGAAAAGAAAGCTAAGTGACTTCCAAAGAAAGGGGAAGTAAAATTACAAAACTACATTGTATAGATGGTCTGCAAGGTTCCTTTGATGCTAAAGCACACCAGGACTGTAGACCAGCTTCTTTCAGCCATAGAGACTTGGCGGGGATTTTTTTGTTTGTTTTTCTGTTTTTAAAGACCTAGAATGATGGGCATTTTTTTCTCCCTGAAGCTATACTTTTGTCTTTAAAACGTGAAATATCAGAAGAGAGGGAGAAACTATAGGTGTTAGGGAACAGCAAGGACCAGCTGCTCCCTAAGGGAAGGCAAGCCAGGAGCCAAAAGCAACCCCAGCACAGCCAGCACCCTCACTAGCCAGGAGGCAGCCTCACAGCATCAAAACACAGCAGGCAGAGCCAGCTTCTGGTGACAGGGGCCTAGACAGTCCCAGACAAGGTGAAGTGATGAAGCAACTCCAGAGCCCATCCAAAGAGTCCTGACAGAGGCAAGAGCTAGAAGAGAGAAGGCCAAAGACAGGACTGGAAACAAATTACCACATCCAACCAAGGAGGCCATCCAGGAGATGACCTACCTACAATGTAGGTCCAAGATCCATCCAGAAGAAGGGGCCAAAGGCAGAACAAGAGACAGATTCACCTATAACATAGCTCAGGCAAGGACCACACACCCAACCCAGGGCTGAGCTCAAATGGAGCTCCTGGAGCAATGGGCAGAAGGAGTGGGCGGAGACCCCAGGTGAGGGCCATTAAGGCCTATTAGGGCGCTCAGGGCCCTGACAACAGGAGCGTCTCAACTTCAGTAGAAGCAATAGAAATACCTTAAACCCCTACCAAATGCAAGAGGTAGATCCTTCTCATGCCCTTGCTAATTACTGCTTGAAATTTTCTTGGTGCCCTCTTGTATAACACTTGTATCTGGGAACAGGGAGGAACCGGAGCTGGGACTCAGCCTGCTCAGATCAGCCCCCGAGACAGAGCAAACAACCATTCCAGACATTCACAGCAGGAAGGGGGATCTAACAGGGAAGGGGAGGCAGAAGGTGGAGGTGGGTCCATTATTCATGAAGGCGATAGCAGTACAACTCAGCCCCCATAGACCCAAGCAGCATCATGTAAGGCTGCCACATCTCTGTGGCAGTTGATAATGGCATGCAAGAGTTCTGCCCTTGACTGTAGAAAATAGAGAGGCCTTGAGGCCTTTCCTTCCCTCCCATGCACCCTCTCCCAGCGTGTATGAGAGCAGAAATATTAAGCACCCTTGGAAAGCTCTCCTCTTGATCCTTTGAGAAAGATTTAGGAAGTTAGAAGTCCACATAGCACAGGGAAAGGGAGAAGGAGGTCCTCAGGGAGGAGGTACAAAAGTGAGATGGGGCAGCTGAGAGCCAAAGGAAGCATGAAGAAGCATCTGATGGTCACAGGTTTCTTGCTGGTGAACCTCAGAGGACGGGATCCAAGAGTTTTGGTGTAGGCTTATGGATGTATCAGGATTTTGTCTCACAGCGTATATCGTCATCTCTCCTTCCCTGCCTCTCACCAAGGGGTGATTCTGATTTCCTTGGGGATCAGGATGGAGGCAAATGTATCCTAGGCTTGGCACTTGTCTCAAATTACAGCATGTATTTGCCATGGCTCTACCATTTCTCACCAAAAAAAAAAAAAATTTACTATTGCATCTCCTGAACCTCCTTCTTTTTCCATTCTGCTGCTTTCTCTCTTTCTTCCCCTTGCAACCAGAGACACTGGCTCCTGTTTGGCGGGCTGACTGCAGTATGTTTCATACATCTGGATGGGTGAGCAGGTGGCTGCATAATGCTGACTGTTATAATATGCAGGATACATCCCAGCAATTGTCCTGGGGAATTAAACATTCCTGGCTGTTTGGGCAGGAAACTGGGCTATGACTTTGCACCGCTTGGCTTGGGAGTATTCTCAGAGCGTGCCGGAGCGTTTGTTACTAAGATGGGGAACGGGTGGCTAGTGGGAAGATGGAGGTTAAAAGGAGATACATTGATTTGCAGAGAAAAGGCTGTAGCATTTATAGCTCTTGTTTCCCTTGGAGTGTCACCTGCAATGGTTTCTTTACCAGAACTGCTCAAAATTGTGCATGATTAGCTAGATTTAGCCTGTATTTCAGGTTGCGAATGGCAGCTATTATCTGTATCACAGAGGCTGCTAGAGCTCAATCAGGTCTGCAGTGCAGGGGGAGGGCAGCTTCCTAGGCACTTGGTGCGGTGTGTGCATACAGCACAAACACTGGGTAGGACACACAGTGAGCCATTTTACCTAGACTGGTCTGTCCCTGCTAACCCTTTGGGTCTGCTGAATGTGAAGGAGAGAGGCAAGAGGAGAGCGGATTCTCTATTTAAAAAATACAATCAGATGTTGAAGCTGAATATGGATGTTTGAGATAGAATCATCTGGGGAAAAAACTCCACCACTAACTACAATGCTTTTGTTCTGCCTTGAACAGAATCAGGGCTGAAATCCTGGAGCTGGTGGCAAATGAAGTATTTCCTACCTCAGGCAGCTTGTGCAAGACAGAAATGTGTTCAGGCATGCAAGCAGAGAGAAGACGATCTCTAAACTTAGCAGGTGAGGAGGCAGCAGCAGATGGGAGCTCACACTAGCAATGTGGTGGCCCTGGAAGTGTAACACATACAGAGGGACTACTTGGCTGGGTTTCAGATCTGCCTTTCACAGTGCGGGCTGTACCCCAAAGCTAGGTGTGACCAGGCTGCTCACGCCACACTGCATACTCAGAGATGTAATACTCCACGGCTTTGCAGAGGAGGCATTAAAAAAGAAGGGAGAGAACTGGTTCCAGAGATAGCGAAGGGCATGTCTCTCCCACAGCTTGATGGCATTACCCCCAAACTCAGACCTTTCGCCCAGACGCCAGCTCAGAGGCCAACAAGTGGGCCTGGGTACGGGTAGCTATCCTCTTCAAAGGCTCAAGCTGAGGCTACTGTTGGCCTCATGCAGTCTTAGGCATGCTGTCTCTTCCCAATAGGAACGGGACCCCTTTGCCCTGAGGACTGGGGCTGATGCCTGGTGCAAGATCCCCTGGAGTTTCATCGACTTAGCAGAAGCCCTGCTTGCTCCCCAAACTCCTTAGAGAGGCTAAAAATCACAGCGTCTTACAGACCTGACCAGAATGTATGGCTGAATCAGGCACTTGTGCAAATGGCTCTTATTCAGGTGAGGAAGAGGTTGCAGGATCAGGCTCTCTTGCTACTGCAGGAGGTGCTAATACCAAATTGTTGCATGTCACTGTCAGGCTGTGCCTAGAGAGATCTGTGGCTTGAACACACTGGCTTGGAGCGTGTCCCAGGTATAGCATTCAGGCTGCCAAGCACTGCAGCCAGGAACACTTAGCTCTCACCTGGAATATGCTATGCGGTATAATTAGAAACCCCCTTTTTTGCTGTTTTTAATTACATTCAGCTTTTCTGATCTTCCTCCCGGTGGCTGGCCACATGGTTTTTAAAAAAAAATGCCACCCAGCAGTGTGTGGGCCTGGTGTCTGCCTGTGAGCCAGGTCCCATCTGGCTGTAATTACTAGCTTCACATCAGCAGAAGAGTGTAATATTTAAACACAAATGTCTGATGTTTGCATAGCAAACCTCAGGATGGAAAGCTCTTGATAATCAGCCTGCAGTCGTGGGGGCAGGCCTGCTGCAGGTGAGCACTGAGCTGCACTGGTAGAGTTGTAGCTACATGTCAGAGGTACTCACAGCTATAGAGAGGAGGACCAATAGTTCGTCCGGAAGCCTTGGAAGGCCTCTGTGGCAGAACCTCCACAGGGTCATGCAATCCTCGCTTCTTGCCTTGAAACAGAGGCACAGGAAGCTGCAGGCAGAGAAGTGCCAGCCCCTGACTAGACATCATGCAGAATTAGGCGAGCTGACCCCGACAGGGTTTTCACAAGGCATGTTATCTCATGCTGCTTCCTGTGGCCTTGGCACGAGCTTTCAAGTTGCGTCTGCTGGCCACTGTGTGCCCCTGGCTTCTGGTTCCGGGAACACCTTGGATGGGTCTGCACCTACTGCAAAACATGTCCAAAGGCACATTCAAATCTTCTTGCAGTGGGTGTATGTGAGGTCTTCCTCCAGTCCTTTTCTTGTTCATGTGGATGAGATACTGATTTCCAGCTGGAAGTGCCCTGCTATGTGCAGGTACAGTTAGGGCTGTTCAGCTTCTGGCCTTTACACTGTTCCTTGTCCCTTTAGAGGCAAAAGAGTCCTTCCAGCGCCCAACTCTGGCTCCTGAGCCAGAGTCAGATCAACTGCCTCAAGAGCTGATCAGGTGGTCAGGGGTGCGGGATGGGGAACAGGAACCCAAAGACTTGATTCATCTGTAGGAGAGCTCCCTGGGACTACCCAGGACAGTGCAGGTGAGGACGACGGAGCAATCAGGTGAGGGACTAGCCTGGATTAGCCTTCTAGGGAGGAGTCGAGGGTGGCTGCATTGCCTCCCTTGCGTGTCCAAAGCGGTGGGGGTGGGATGTTGCAAGGAAAATAGGAAGCTCTAGCACAGCTGTATGGAGAACGGCTGTTTGCTCTGAACGGTCAGTTCTTCCTCCCCTGATGTGCTTGACATCTACTAGGCAGAGAGACCTGTGTCAAAGACATGGTCTGACGTGTAGAGGACAAAACGCCTGAGTTCTCTGAATGCTTAACTCTATCGGCTGGAGAGAGATCAGAGGGATGGAGAGGATAAACCAGAGAGAAACGGAGCCTTCACATTCCTGCAATCCTATCTCTTCCCATTCAATACCACTGTCATGTGGGGTGGTCATCTGGACTCCCAAGCTGATGGAAGAGCTACTGAAATCAGCACAGACAGCTGCCACTGCCCCAGCAAGCTCCTGGCCCAGAGCTATAGCCATCGGGTTAGATCTCACCATCTGATGGATCTCAGCAGCTCAGTGACCAGCTTCCCTCAGAGAGGAATGCAGGCTCAGGCATATTTCTCGAGTCCCCAAGCTCATAGAAACACAGACAACGTACTGCATTGGCTCCTAAAAAGTAAGACTCAGAGCACAGCGGGTGTCAGCTTCTGCAGGGTGGAGCTCATCTGCCCCGGAGAAGGTGGCTGATGATGAGACCCAGCTCCTCCTCGAGGCCTTCCCCTGCCTGCAAGGGACCCAGTCTGGTCTCTCTTGCGCATGAGACTTTGCCTGCCTGCCCTTCAGTGCTGATCCCTTGAAGGAGAAGAAAAACAACACGAAGGCAGAGTTTCACTCTGTTCTGAATGAGATGACAAATAAGAAAACAGTGACCAGGCACATATGGAAGGGGACACAGACACGTGCTGTCTGCAGCATCCTCCTTTAGCACTGGGTTCTGGGGACCACCTGGCCAACTGACTGCCTTTGAGCTGCTGAGCCACGCGCCATCTCCTTCAGGGCAAACAGCACCCTCTGTTCACTTTCCTGATGTGGAAAAAAAGGCATGCGTTGAGATGGCTTTCATTTATGGTGCCATCATGTGGCTAGTGGATGTCTCTTCATAAGCTTGCCAAGTCAGGACTCAGCCTGTCGCGACTTGTCGTTTATATAAGAGGAGGCTAGAGCAGATGTAGGATAACAAATGTCTCCTCGCCATCTCCGGGGGTTCCAGGGCCACTTTTCTGCAGCTTATGCGCCCAAGGCGAGCTAGTCCTACTGTCGTCATTGCCTCCAAGAAGCACTGCTCATCTCCACAAACTTTAAAGCCACATCCTGACAGACCAAAATAAATCAATCAATAAATAAATCGTCCGTCTCGTCTACTGGATTCTGCAGTTTATTTCCTCGGCGCTGATGAAAAATAGTTGGATGCTTAGTAGCTTCATGAGACTAATTATGATAAACGGCCCCATCGCTGTTAATATCCGGCCATTAATTCCCAGATGGAGCTGCAGAAAATGTCAGGAAAGGAAATGTCAGCTCTCTAAAAGGACCTGGCAGGTACCAAAGTGGGGACTGGAGCATCAGCAGAGAAGGGAGCAGGGGAAGAGTTAGGAATTAGCAGAACGATGATGTACATTTGGAACCTGTAATTGTTCTGACCTGATTGCTTGGCTTCTCCCAATTATGGATCTCTCAAGCAGTGCCACCACCTTGTCTCCCTCCAGATTTTGACTGCTCTGGATTCTATTCTCTGCACTGAAGCAAAAGACTTGGCATTTACTGAGTGGATGTCACTGCCTTTGGGTGGAGGGAGCTCAGCCTTAGCTTCAGGAATCCCCTCCCCATTGAGATATCCAGAAATGTCACCACTTGTAAGGCTGGCATGAGCCACCAGTGGCACCACTGACCTGAATCTCTCATAGCACGTGCGGTAGCGCCAAAGCTGACACTGAGTATCAGCTGCTCTGATAACCAGGGCTGCTCTCTCCAGTCATCACATGAGGGTGATGCGTGACTTGCCAAGGCCTCACAGATGCTGAGCCCTGTGGCACACATGGCACACCTTCAAGAAGCAGGTCAGTATCTGAACTGAGTCTTTTCCCCCCTTCTTTTCCTTTTCCTTCTCCCAAGGTGGCAGTGATGGCTACTGGAGTTGGTCATCATGTAGATATGGCTTTTCTCCAGCATGCTCTGCAGGATGGACACACCACTAACTCCCTTCACACCAAGCGCAGGGCTGGCAGGCTGACTTACAATTAAAAAGGACGAGCCCATGTTCAACTGCCATGTTCTCCTCTCAGTTTCATTTTCATATTCACATTCACAACCATGTTGTTACAATAATCACAGTTGCATATAAAAACCAGACAGAAAACAGCAAAAACACTTGTTCTATGCTTTCCCCCAATAGTTTTTGAATGGTTTTTGTGCATGTTTGAGAGAGCACTTCACAGAAAAATTCACTGCTAAGTGAGATGATACTTTGAGAACAGACGAACCAGCCAGATAAATGATATGAAAGCCGAGATATTGACGGCACTGCGTTACTGATGGCAGGAAGTCAAGCTGGCACTCAGTGCAATAAATCAGCTGATGAACAAGTGTCAGGAAGATATGTTTTGAAGCCATTCTAAATCCAAAAATGTTGGATTGTCAGCTTGTGTAGTGACGCCACTCTGACACATGGCATGCTTGAGCCTCAGTCTCTGAAGATGTTAAGACTTCTTCTAAGGCTTGGTGCAAAGAAACTAATCGATTTTGTTGCTCTCTCCAGCCCATCAGCTCAGGCCTTGCTCCGCAGAGCTTCTAAAATGGTCTTGTTCAGATGAGTTATCTATTCCAGCTTTTGGCATATGCTTCCAAGTGGTATAAATCTGAACAGGCTGGGGATTCCTTGATAAAATGCCAGTTGGTTGAAAGAAAGGCTTTTTGCAGCAATACGTTAGTCTGAGCAATGCTGTTTGTCAGCAAAGGATGGAACTTCTGCTCAAAATCGGATTATGTGGACACTTAGCTGCTAAAGGGAGATACAACATTGATCCTGACCAGCCTGATCCAGTTCAGAGTTGGGGCTGTGCCCTAATCACAGCCCTCCTGGTAAGAAGCCAAGATGTCTGTCTCCCTCATGAAAAGCCTTGAAAAGCTTGATGTTCCTCCTGAAGCTTCAGGGGAAATTTCTAACCCTTCTAAAAGCGTGCAAGTCATTTCCCGATCTTATTTCAAAAAAGCGTCCGCCTGAACTGACTGAAGATGCAAAATTAATTGTCTGAGGACCTTGGTCCCTGTATGTTGTCTGGGAATGTCTGAGTTGTAAGACTGCTAGTATCTCTTCAGAAATGGCTTGCAGTTCTTTTAGGATAGTTTTCACCGGGGGCGGGTGATATATTTCCTAGAAGAGAGCAGGTTCTATCTATAGACTCCCGAGTGATGTGTTTTGAAGGCTTGCAGCGTGTGTACGTGCAAATCTGACATTTCTCAAGAGCACCAAGAAACTTGACCTCTCAGACTGCCTCCTCCCCACTACAGACTGGGCATATTGACTTTGTGGTGAGGCAGATCCTGATACTCTTACCTGGGATGACTCGTGTCCCAGCTGTTTGATATGCCTCTCTCCTCCGCAAGAGCGGGGCTGTTCCAGCCTGGCTTTATGGTCCTGATTGCCCAGTGGTTAGAATTATGGCTCTATTTTGATGCTTTCTCCTAGGAAGATGGGAAGTGTCTGGACCATCTTCGCTGGGGGACTGTGGCATTTTAAGTCCTCTGCGCATGTCCTGGCAAATGACCCGTCAGTACCTCAGGTCAGGCTGCATGATGTTGGCCCATTTATCCGGCTGGGGCTTTTGAAGAATTTAAGGGCCTACCCCCAGAACATTTGGGAGCCTGAGGCTTGGATCCTCAGGTGGATCTCAGCCACTAGCTCCCTCTGGAACCGAGGTCCCTATAAAGTACATCTAGGCTCCTCCTGGAAGAATCTTACCTTTGGGGCACTCCTGGCTTGCAGGCTGTTGATGTGCTTTTTCTATCTGCAGCCCTATGGAGAAGATGGTAGAACTTGTTAGAGACAGTTTTGGACAATTCAGCTGAACTAGCTGTTAACAAATGCCTAGTGCAGGCTTCTCAACCCACCACTACTGAGATTTCATGAGCTGGGCCTTGCTTAGCTTCTCTCCTTTACCACCGCTGCTTGCCTACTCAGGCTGGGCCTGGGCAATCCTCACTGCCACCCTCCCACTTCTGGCTAGTCCCATGCTTTTTGCACACCTACCCTGGAAAGGCAATCTAGTCCTGCACATTCCTTTGGGAATCCTTTCGGCTGGACTGATGGTGCGATCTTGAATGTGAAAGAACCAGCCCTGGGGATACGATTTGCTGTGCTACAGTGACAGAGATGAGGGAGAAAACTAACCAACAGAAATGTCTTTCTATCAGGGTCACGGTCTCATTCACTTTTTGAGATTGCACTGAAAACTCTAGTTTGAAAGCAGAGAATTGGCAGCTGGCTGCTGTGACCCGCTCCGCCAGGCACAGACCGTCTGAATTCAGGGTAACTCACTGCCTGGCATTGTGAGCACTGTTGAAAGCGGTAGAAAGATAAAGGTGAATCTGGCTTGAAATTGCCTTCCCAAAATCAAACTGCCTCTTCAAGAGCAGGGTATGCACATGCATGTGCATGCACATGCAACATGAAGCCAGAATTCACCCTGTCCCGACTCTCCTGCTCTAAGACTTTCTTGTGTTTTTGTGTTTTGGGGTTTGATTTAAGTAGTTTCTGTCAAATGTATTGTTAGTGTTGTCAACATGTGGTGTTTTACTCTAGATGAATGCTGAATCGTGTGTGTGGGAATACACGTAGGTGTGCAGACAGAGAAATGTAGGGCCTTATTCTCCAGTGGCCTTGTGCTTTGAGGATCATTTACACCTTCGGGAAAATGTGTGTGGAGTGGGTTATGGAAACGTTGCCAGATCTGAAGGTGCCTGCCACCCACGTCAGATAGGTGCAAGTGATGACACAAAGCAATCCGTGCATCATCTCTGAGGTCCACAGAAATCAGGCATTTTGATATTTTATTATTCTTTCTATTACCAGAGGAAGGCCGTGCTCTGAGAACGTTAACTCATGTGTGATACGCTATCCTGGCAATGCTGTTTCTGAGCTATCAGTTACTTTGGGACAGACACATCAATGCCAAAAGGTGAAAGTGACTTGAGGAGGAGAGGAAAGGCGGCTCCAACAGATCTGGACAATAGGAAACAGAGAAGTCAGGCTCTTCAGACAGAAAAGAAAAACAATGACTTGTAAAAGGAGCCTCTGAGAGAGAACGAACCATTAGCATGTTTCAGGTTTCTTACCTTCCTGATGCCGGTTCACATCGCAGCACCTCATTAAAACCAGTGCGATTCTCAAGTCATGGGGGAGACCAGAGCTCTGTTGCTCATCGTGAGTCCGGGTTCTGCTAAGACTTGCTCATGCTTTCACTACGCAAGTAGTCTCATTGTTTGGATGGAGGGAGCACCGTTTTCCTTCTCCCAACAGTCCCGTCCTAGTGAAAATCCTGGGTAAGTTACTGATCAATCCATTTCAGCAGGCACTGGGGAACCCCATTCTTGGAGACCTGTTTTCTTGGGTGCTCAGCATCATCCGTAAGCATGGGCAGATCTGCGGCCTACAAAAGAGCACACAGCAGAAAAGGAGCAGGAAGAAGAACTGTGCTAAGAAAGATGGTGCTAAGCCTTTTGTGCTGCCCCAGCTGGGGACAGCATCCAAGCCGGGGTCAATATGAAAAGGGGCGAGCACAGAAACGCTCAGCAGCATTGCGCTGGCTGTGCCAAATGCCAACCACCAACACTTCAAATCTGCCCTTCGCAAGCGGCTAGGTGCAGCGCTCTTCTCCCTAGCCATCTTCAGCTGGACGAGCATCCAGGGAAACAGGACGTGGTTACAGAGTGGTGTTGGTGCACCCTGCTGCAGCCCCCGGAAAGGAGTTTCTCTGGAACCAGAAAGCCCTTTCCAAGGCAAGTCAGGAAGTAAAACAGCCGTGGTAGCAGGTTGATTGAGAGCGTGGCTGGTCGCACACCTGTCTGGTTTCTGTTCTGGCCCTGTAGGTTTTTGAAGGCCCAGTCAGTCGAAACAGTCAGGCTTTCATCCTCTGACTCACTGAAGCATTTTGTATCAAACTTTGAAATGCCTGGTCAAAAATGAAACATAACTAACCACAGGGAAAGCAAGACCTGCTGTGAATCAGACCCTCTGCCGGGGAGACAGGTGGGATGAGATGGCCTGGTTTCTTCCCACACAAACAGCTAATGGGTCTCCACCTTCACTTCTTCCTGGTGAGAACAATCTGGGATGCAGCTCCTGGGAACTCCTGGGAAGAACTGTAATTATATCAAACCTAATCAAGGCGAGACAGCATGAACTCCTTTTGTAAATAAGCAACAAGGCCTGCGGTAACATGGGGAAGCTGCACCTGGGACTTTCTTCAGCAGCTGCTTCTGCTTTGAGCCGGGGAAGGGGCAGCTCAGCATGGGTGTGAGTCGGCACAGCGACCTCCTGGCTGCCAAGGACCCGTCTGGAAAATGCCTTGGCAGGAGCTAGGCACTGCTGGAAAGGAGCTTTCTCGGCAGGACAAGCTTGTGTTTCTCGCCCCAGGCACTGCCTGCCACAACATCCACCTCCCTCTGCCCAAGCCTCACCTTTCCTTGCTTGCAAATTTTATGATGGCCCAAGCGCTTCTCTCTTTGACTCCCCGGCCCCCACGCCTTCGCACCGAGCTGGCTGCTGGAGTCGGTGCCAGGGTGGGTGCCCCGGCGGAGAGCCGGCACTCATAGCCTGGGCTCTGCTGCCTCCCCGTGGCGTGCCC